CATTTTCTCTCCCCTGTCCAGCTGAAGAGGGGAGTGGTAGAGCGGCTTTGGTGGGCACCTGGTGTCCAGTCAGGGTCAACCCAGTACGCGCCTTGAAAACAGGATCTTCATCTGGTTCTCAGCATTAGCTGGTAACATTTTGGTGAACAATCATTACAAGTCAGATATCTGTCATGCAACATTTCATCCTAGAAATTTTATTTAATACAGTTATGTTTTTGAAAAGGGAATCTTAGAAGAGAAAGTATTAAGTGACCTCAGTATCAGGCAAAATTGTCATGTTTGACATGATCCACGTTTTTTTTAATTGTCTGAAAGGCTGGGAGAAAGGGAGGGAAAGGTGAGATCAAAACTACCAAGTCAGAGCATCAAACATGCAGTTAATGACAGAAACAGATCTTCTGACTGTCATCATTTCAGGCTAAAGCCTGGTCCCATACTGTACTGGAGCATCAGATTGGACAAGGAAAGGAGCCTGGTCAAATGCAGTCTGGCTTTTAGCTATAAAGGCTTCAAAATCAGTCTCAGGGAGAGGGAGAAGTGATACAATATATAGCACATTTGCATAGCTCGACACATTCCTATCTGTGATATTCAGAATTGCACAGCATTCTGAGGGAGCATAGGGTTGCTTTTTTTTTAGTTATAGTTCTTCGATTTAAAAGCTACAGGGTACTAGTACATACACATTCTGGTAAAGCATTTACAAGTAGGTTCAAAGCTACAGAACTTTGTGCAAAACGATTTGCACTTCAAAGTGCTAGAGATGGCTGTTTTGGATGAGATCACAGAACTATTAACTAATAACTTTAATGAGGTTCCTTAATTGCATAGCTGAACTTTGACTGAGGTCTTGTGTTGAAAAAGATTATCAGCCAAGAGTAACTTGACTCTTGACTTTGAACTTAAGAAACAGAGCCAGAGAAAGACAAAAAGGAGGTGATTAATTTTTGGTTTTTTTTTTTTTTTTTTTTAGTGAGGATATATTTCATTTCTGTGAGTGTATCAAAGTGTGATAGATACCCCAGAAAGGCTGGGAAAAAAATTTTACATGTTCTAATTCTCATTTAAGCATACAAAAGCTGCCAGTTCATACTTATTTATTATGTTACTAGAATTTTTTGCATAACAAGCTATAATTTTAGACAAGTAGTCCACAGTGCAAGGCATAGTACAATCACAGAGCAAAAAAGGTCACATTTTTAGCTTACATGTATATATACGTATATTTGTTTGCATGCACTTTACTTTCTTGTACATATCACAGTGAAGAAAAGTTGTACAGAGGGATGCAAAGAAGGATAATGAGGTAATCCTGCAGGTATTTAGAGGGAATTCCTCTACTGGCAAAGGATAAAGTGCGTAGTCTCGGTTGTTTAAGCAGGAA